ACCACGAAGTGGGAAAAATTAGAGCCAGAGCTGTGGAAGGAGCAGAGGTCTGTATCAAGGAACAAAGCTATGAGGAAGCAGGTGGCTTCAAGGAACTGGAATACATGCCTGGGCCCCATGCTTCTCTCCTGTTAGTTTTCCAGGGAACCTTACTGTTAACTCAGGAAGCTCGACTGCTGAGCTCCATGCCCTGCCACTCCCCAAGAAGGAAGCAGGATGGAGAAGGTATCAAGTGGTTGCCCAAGCCATCCAGCAGTCGTACAGACTGCTCACCTTGACAAATGGCAGTGTACCAGAAGGTAGAAGAGTAGCCAGTGCGGGGCAGGGAGTCAGTGCTGTGTGTGCTGGAACCTCGCTCAGCGAGGAGGTGCACAGCAAGGTAGCTCAGCTCACCAGCCATGTCTCTTAGCGGCGTCAGTTAATTGGTCTATTAGCTGATCCGGGTGGAGTTGAGTGGTTTGGATATACAGCTAGATTTGAAAACAATTCATGTGCATTACGTAACACTACTTAGGCAAGAACCCATGGGTATAGACATCAGAAGGTGTGTGTACATGTCAGGAATTTTCCTGGGAAGGTAGAGAGGAATGGATCTTTCTGATTGTCTTAGAAGGAAACAAATGGGTAGAGAGTTCATGGTAGAAAGAACAGCTTTTCATTTCAACAGCATCCTTACATAGTGAACAAATTTATTTATTTTTAATAAGCGTTGGCGTTTTTTTGGACAAGAACTCAGTTAAAATACATAGATGAACTTAGTTTTGAAATCACCTTTTATTCGTTCTCTTAAACCTTTGGAGTGTGTCATTGTGAGAAGTGATTTTGTCTGTACCTTTAAACTGTGATCTGAGAGCAGCTGAACAACATGTCCTATACCAGTAAGTCACTGCTCTAAGGATTCTAGATGACATTCAGCCTATCGAGTCATTCATTCTTCCAGTGGCCCTGCGACTCCTCTCTTGGCTTGTTCAGTGTTCCAGGATGATAAGCAGTGGCTTGGAACAGCACAGGAAATCTGTTTTGGAGAAAACTGAGTGTTCTCAGGTAGTTAGGTGGAGTGGATTTAGTTAGACCTCTGCCTCAAGACTATTTCAGAGTTCATGGTTAAACTGGGAATCTGTAACTTAGAAAAGCAAAAGGTATATTTCACCGAGGCAGCTATTCACGAAGTCCTCCCAAGGCCTGGCCAACACTTCTTGATGGAAGCAGTTCAATTATCTGGAGCTATATATAGCACTTTCACCTGATCTGCAGTTCCTCATCTACATCTACCTAATTTCCTTAAAAAAAAAAAAAGCTTCATTTTTTAAAGTTGAATATATAATGAAAAAAAACCTTCACTCCTGACCTTTATGGAGACACCTTAGAGTTACTCAATAATAGTCAGCAGTTGCCCTGGTAACCTCAGACACACTGCTCAAATAACCTGCATTCATCACCATCCCCTGCCTTCGGCGCAATGAGATCACCTGCTTAGTGTTAATGGAAAGAGGACATTTTAGTACATTTTAACCCCTTCAGCTTCTCCTGCAAGGAGAGAGGTGGTGGTGTTTGTGATTACTCACTAAATGATTTTTGTTTGTTTCTTTCATGACTAAGGCACTGAAATCGAATGAAAAGCTCCCTAGTTTTTGAACAAAATGGAAAGTCTTGTTCATTCTGTTTTGTTCGGTGATAAACACACTTGCAGGCTAGAATTCAGGATGGATGTGACAAGTCTGTCCTCATTCGAGATCACTGAAATGGTAAGCAAAGCCCACTAACTCGTCTACTTTGACTTGAAGGACCTAGCTAGAAGTTGACAAAGCCAACGTTGAAGCAGGAGTGAGGTCTCTTCAGATGAGCTGGTGGGGTACACATCTCGGAGGAAGCCGACATCCTGGAGCTGGTGGGGTACACACATCTCAGAGGAAGCTGGCATCCTGGAGCTGGTGGGGTACACATCTCGGAGGAAGCCAGCGTCCTGGAGCATCCAGATGCTGTGTTCCACACTGCAGATTTCAGAGCGGGAACCCTGTGTGCTTCTGGGGCAGAAACAGTTCATCCACCTTCAATTGCAAATGTCCTCGTTCCTATTATTCTTTGACCCAATGTGTGAAAATGGAAATATGTCCTTCGTCATCCCATGGCAGCATCCACAACATTCAGTTGTCATAGTGAAAGCAGATTGACAGGAGGTCAGCAATCCAGTAAGAACCATGGGCATCCTGGAGACAACACCCACGGAATATTAGTGGTTGATGTGGTTGATGCCATCCTAACAGACAATAGTTAGATCCCATACTGTCCCCATGGAAGTCTTCAGACAGCGCCTCTCTCTCTCTCTCTCTCTCTCTCTCTCTCTCTCTCTCTCTCTCACACACACACACACACACACTCACACACACACACACTCACACACACACACACACACTCACACACACACACACACACACACACACACCAGTTGCAGTCTCTTTCCTTTCATTGTTTATCTCTCTACAGTACTTATTTTCATCTTGGTTTTTCCTGTGGAGGACAGAACCACCAGCGGGGTATTTGCTGCTGTGGTCTCTCTGCCCCCCGGAGCACTCACTAATCCAGAATCTGCAAGGTCTGACATATAGTCCCTTTGCAGTAGATTAGACACTTAATCAGACCCTGTTGCTGAAGTTGCTCTTCCAGGCTCTGTGGAAGAGTTAACTTGCACAGTTTGCTCAGATCCCTATTGCCCAGATGTGGAGACCAGACCCACAAGTGTGACAGCTCACTGCTGCAGTTTAGTAGGACAAGCAGCTCCGTCGTTTATACAGAGAGCCTTCATGTTGAATGAAGCATCTTTACAACTGTATATCGTGTGTGCAGGGTTCTCATCCCTCTTCCATCTGCTTTTATGTTGATGCTTTTCTTATGTGCGTTGGTTCAGCTTGCTTTAAGTTGGCGAGAAGAGTTCTAATTTGTGACCCACCCAGCTTTCTTAGCCTGTTCACTAAGAGGCTACCTCTTAGAATCTACCAATTATCCAGCACCAGCTTAGAAGAGATCAGACAGTGGGTTTCTAGTGGTTTTCACATTTCTAATACCCTTAAATTTATTTTCTTTGCATTAAAGAATGGTGTAGAAAGGGAGAAAATATCAAAAAGAATGGAAAACCGGAATCTGCCACTTGAATCCAGGGCATATTTAATGCCTATTCCTCTTAACATTTTCACAGGGCATGCTTACACAATTATCTTGTTTTTTTTTTCCTTCCAGGTAACAGTTTATTGATATTTGTAGTGGCAAAAATCTGTAAGACTTTCCTATATTAAGCCCTACACCAGCATCCTGTTAAATCGACATCTATTGACCATGGCATTGCTTCCTGACCTTCTGTAGAAGGGAAAGTTTGACAAGTCACACGCTACGCCAATAAATAGGAACGTCACCAATGCACTGCATTCCAGACCCACGTCTCTGTGTGAGGGTCTTTTTCTCATCATTGTCCATACAGAAATTCTCAATTAAATTCCCTCTTCTACACAAGCCAGTTTTGAAGTTCTACCCTGAGTTTCAGCATGAATCCTTTAGATCCTGTGCCCACAGCAACTACCCAAGTACACCGTTGGGGTGACACTAGCTCTCCTCACTGTTTTTCTTTGCATACCTGGCTGACTTCTCCAGGTTCTTCTTCCGCTTCTAGGAATGCCAGCTCCTGGAGCTTCTTTGTTTCAACTGTGTACCAATTCCAGGGGCCACACAAAGGGAGGCTTAATAAAACCAGCATTGAATCGATCCTTCAAACACAGCCAGCGCTGAACCAGAGCAGAGACTTGCTTAGCCGTGACCTGAATGCTCCTGTTGCAATGGTGTGAGCCAGCTTTCCACCGTATGCCCTATTTGTGTGTGTGTGTGTGTGTGTGTGGGAGTTTGCCTTATCCAAGCAAGCTCATAGTATAAGCCACCAAACTTGATGTGTATCATGAAAGATTAGTCCTCTATGTGCAAAAACATTCAGAGAAACCTAAGACCCTCCTCTAGGATCTAAATATGTCATCAGTATGTTGGCCCCCAAACAGGAGAGCAGTGTGATTTCACGCAGACTCCTGATTGTGTGCTGGAGAGCCTTATGCTTTGTTCTCCTCTGGGGTCATGTAGACCACAGCAGTTTGAAGTAAATAAGGAAAAGAAAGTGCAAACTCTGTTCAGTTGAGCTACCCCATGCCTTGCCACCTAAGAAGATGATAGCCCCATTTCTCTGTGAAGATTACTTTCCTATGTGCCACTGTGGAGCTCACCTGGTTCCACCTAGCAGCCAAGAGACTGAAAGTGCCTGGACAAAGCTGGGGTCTAATCAGGACCCTGGGGAGCCCTGCTCGGGTATTGCAGAGCAGAACATGTGTGCTGAGGTTCTGGGTGGGACAGTGTTGTCATGGAGGAACTTCAGGGGAACAGAAATACATAACATCAGGCTTTATGGGGTTTTGTATATGTGTTATGGGAGGTGACCCTTCTTTCATGTCACCTCATGACGTCCTCAGTAAAAGATGATCCCTTGGAACTAAGGGGGGCAACTTAGTTGGTCAACTGCTTGCCACTCAAGTCTGGGGGGAATTGAGTTCAATACCAGCACCCACATGAAAACCCGGACACAGTGGCTTATAACCTCGGTGCTGATAGGTGGAGGCAGGTGGATCACTGGGACTTGCTGGCCGTCCAGCCTAGCCTACTCGAGAGGGCTCTAGGTTTCAGTGAGAGCCTTTCTCTCAAGAAACAGAATGGACACAGATCCTGAAGAGGGACACTGGGGTTGACCTCTGGCCTCCACATGCCAGTATTATGCGCACTTGTATACACACACACACACAACACACACATACAGACACACGGGAAAAGGAAATAGTGACTCCTTGGTACTCAGTGTTTCACAGTATTGAGAGCTTGGTCTGTGGGATGTGTTGCTCACCAAAAGCTTTCTTTGAAAGGGGCGGATTACATGGTCTCTTAATGCTTTATCTCTTCAGAAGAAATGAAGATAGCATCTGCTTCATAAGGCTGCTGTAAGGTTTAAATGAAAAGTTTAAATTAAAAAGTTCTAGCACAAATGTGCTCAATAAAAGTTACTCGACAAAAATACGGTCACAGTCACTCTCCTAACAATGGCCAAGTCATTGATTGGTCTTTGGAGGTTTTACTGAAATGCCAGGTCCTGTTCGTGATGGATTCAGAGTCAAAAGGGAGGTTGTTTCCCAAGAACAACCTCCATCAGCATGACCAGACCAATCCCAGTTAGACTTCTGGCCATTCACACTTAAGCTGTGTGTAGCCAGGGCATCCACATCCTTCATAGCTTGAGTCCTCTTGGATTTCTGTAGGTCATAGGCAAAAGGGGTGGTTATGCAGCTCAGACCAGGAATACAGGAAGAGCTGTGTAAATGAGTCTAGGCAGAGCAGAAACTCCACAGAGGCAGGGCCAGTGGAAAGAAGACAGGGACCAGAAGTTTTTGATATATCAGTCCTCTTGGCATCCGAGGCTATGCCTGCTAGTTGTCTCTGGCTCCCTTTCCCATCCTTTGCACTTTGCCCCATAGCACTGCTTTCTCAGAACTTGGTATTGCCCGGACCCTGTGGGTTGCAGTGCTACCCCCCAGCTATACTCGCATTAGAATTCTCCCCAAAGCTTCTGGTGAATGTTCTGTTTCTTGTCTGTGCTTCCTGAGAAAGAGTCTAGTTGCTTGACCTCAGCTCTCTTCTGAGCCAAGTCACTGGTGGTGGCCAATCTATGGTCCAGTGGCTTTGAGGCAGGAGAGTTGACAGTTTAGTGGCCTGATGGGGCCTGAGGTAGGCAGAGACTGAGGATGCAGATAACGTATTTTCACCTAGCTATAACTTGGCTCTCCAGTGTTTTGGAAGTCCCACTCACGTGACAGGAGCTAGCTGCACTCAAGAGTGGAAGGGTAACTGCTAAAGAAGCAAGTTTCAGAAGAACTTTATAAAATGCCATTAAAAATAAGAAGTAATACAGAGTCCAGATAAAGTGCAAGGGTCTTCTTCACCCAGCAGCTCCTTTGATCACAGCTATATGACTCAACACTGCAAGAGTTGATTTTATAATCTCTATTCCTCCTCATTTGAGACATTACATTTGATATATTGCGCTTGGAAAAGTTGAAAAATACGTGTTACATCTTAGGAAATTTTCCTTTGATCTCAAGTACAATGTTAATAATTAAATTTTATTTGTAGAGTTATATGATAGAGAACCTTATTCTTTATTGCTGTAAGTTTTATACAACAATTCTTTATGGTATAGAATGGTAACTGGAAAACTTGAATGGGCACATGGCTAAGCAAAATCAATCATGTGTTTTCATGTTTTGTTTTTTTTTTTTAACTGGGGCTGCAGCAGTATTCTGTCTTGCCTTCCACCATGGTGAGCAACCATAGTCTCTACTGCCTAGGACCATTGCAGTCATCCCAGTGTACCAAGAGCAAAAAGTAGGAGAGAGTGGGAGCGTAACTAGGGGAGAAGGCTTTCTTGAGCCCTCCTTGGCTTTGGGGGGTTGAGGGCACACGCATGTGCATTCATGCGTGTATGTGTATATATGTGGATACATGCATACATGGAAGTCAAAGAACAACTGGGTAGGTCAATCTTTAAGTACTTTCCACATTTTGCCTGTAATTGGTTTGGGCCTTTGCCATGTAGGCCAGGCTGTGAGTTTCCGTGCATTTGCTGTTGCTATGTGGCAGCATCACTGGGATGACAGGCTTGTGTGGCTGCGATGCTGGGATACAAAGGCAAGTCCTCACACTTCAACAAGCCAAGTCCTCCGTCCAGTCTTTGGTTCTTTGAGACACGAGCCTGCTATAATCTTAACTGGCCTAGAACTTTCTGTTTAGATCAGGCTGGCCTCGAACTTGTGGTGTTCTTTCTATGCGTGCTTTGGAACCTGTGAGATCGTGCTGTGCCACCACACCCAGCTAACAGCGTATTCTAGTTCAAGGAGTTTGTTCTTCTCTTTCCAGTGTCACTGGAGCTTTAGTTTTTCTTTTCTGCTTGTATATTTGAGTTTTTAAAATTGTGTGATGCCAGAGTTCGAACCCAAGCCCTCACATAAGCTAGGCAAGTGTCTACCACTAAGGTGTACCCCACCCAGGCTTGATTCTTTTTATTTCAGTTATTCAGTATGTAAGTGCATTGCAGGCACCCTTTGTTTGACTCTGCTTTCTTCGTCGAGATTTGTAGATGGTGTGCTTGCTGCTTTTTTTGCTTGTTTGTTTTTAAGAAATTCAAGGTTTGTGGCAACCAATTCAAATGACCATTAGCTTCTACTTTCACAACAACATAGTTCTGAACTAAGATATGTGTTGTTTGTGCATAATGATACCATTACACGTTTAATAGGCTGTAATGTAGTGTAAACATACATTTGATGAGTCCCAGATAACCAAACTTTTCATCAGCTTGTCTTCTCACTGCCTTTGCCTGAAAACAGACACAAAGCTCATTAGTTAGGTCCTCACTATGCGACAAAATTCCTGACCAGAAGCAACTTACAGGAGAAAGGGCTTATTTCAGCTCACAGGTCAAGGGGATCCAGTCTGTCATGGCAGCAGGAACAGGAAGCGGCTGGTCATAGAGAATCAGCTGTTAAAAAGGAGAAAGATAAATGTTGGTACCCAGCTAGCTTTCTCTGTTTTAGGCAGTCCACGGCCCCAGCACATGGAATGTGCTATCCATATTTAGAGTTCTCACCTCACTTAATCTAATCTTGACCATCCCTCAGAGACATATTCAGACTTGTATCTGGATGATCCTAGGTCTTGTCATGTTGACAGTAATGCTAATCATAGGCACTGTCGTCTGTGCTTGTCTGTTAGAGATGAGTGTGATAGGGAGAGAACCCTGGATAATGGCAGATAACAGAAATATAAAATAACTAAAAATAGGACAGATGGGAAAGTTGAGATTCAGACAGGACAGTGAGCTGGGATGGGCAAGGAAAGCTTTGTGATCAAATTTGCACTTGAACTTGTATCTTGAACGATGGGTTAGATTCAGAAATGAGACAGCAGTGAGAGGTTAGGATGCAAGGACACAGGGCAAGCACAGGGACTGCTAACAGCTAACTTGGGGCAGGTGCCTTTTATCTGTAATATTGCAGTTATTTGTTTCTTGTGTCAATATGATTTTTACTTCTTTAGGCATTAAATCTGGGAAAGCCTTCCTATCCCATAATTTTATACTAGCCGGATCCCCATGGAGCATCTTCTCTCAATTTGTCTTGTGTAATTGACTTGCCTAAGATGTTCCCTATTTTCATCATGGTTTGCTTCACAGTCAAATAGGTCTCGCCATCTGGAACTTTTTTTTTTTTCTCCCACAAAAAGCCTGTTTCCATTTCTAAGTGTCCTAAGATCCTATGATATGCTCCTTGTAAGAGTTAACCTTTCTGTTTCTGCAATAACACCATGACCAAAAGTGACTTATGGAAGAAGTTTATTATGGCTTGCATTCCAGAGGGACAAGAGTCTCTCATGGCAGCCAGCAGCAGGCATGGCAGCAGGGGCAAGAAGCCGAGAATTCCTATCTTCTGCTGCAAGCAGAAAGAGGGAAGTGGGACTGGCCCATATAGTCTCAGAGCTCATGCCCAGTGATGTATTTCCTCCATCAGCATTGTACCACCTCGCCAAACAGTGCCACCCACTGGAAACCAAGTGTTCAAATATCTACACCTATGGAGGACGTTTCTCATACAAAACACCACATGTTGCAAAGAGGCCTCTTGTTGGTTCCCGGATGCTCAGCAGCTCGGACCCAAAATAATCTCACAGAAACCATATTATTTAAACCACTGCTTGGCCCATTAGCTCTAGCTTCTTATTTGCTAACTCTTACACCTTAATTTAACCCATCTCCATTAATCTGTACATTACCACAAGGTCATGGCCTATCAGCAATTTCATCACATCTGTCTCTGGCAGTGGCTCCATGGCTTATCTTTGACTCCACCTTCCTTCTTCCAGCATTCAATTTAGTTTTCCCTACCTTTCTCTGCTCTACCCTATCATAGGCTCAAAGCAGTTCTTTATTAACCAATGGTAATCACAGCGTACAAAGGGAAATCCCACATCAACCACATGCCTTCATCTGCTCTGCTTTGACTTCTGTGTTATCAAAGGTAACCAAGTATATTTGAAAAGAAGCTGTGTCGCTCCCTTTGTTGCATGTAACTACCCCAAACCAGACACAACGGAGTGGGTCTGATAGCTGAAGCTTTCCTCAAGGACTGCTTTCCTTGGAATCAAGCTGTCTCTCTGAGGCAACTGGGGCAGACCAGATTCATCGTGGCATTACTAAGGGGAGAGTAAAAATAGCCTTACAGAAAGGGCCTGCTTATTTTTACTCCACAGATAGAATGACTATGTTTAGCCTTCAGTTACTGGGCTCAACCTGCAGAAGTGCACTCGGATTTTATTTTCATTTCAATAGGCAACACCAGTTCTCTTTCTCGCACTGTAAATGAACGAGAAAAAAGTGTATTCCAGACATTCAGCTATAGCTGACACAATCACAGAGTGTCATGTGCTTCTGAAGTCACTGCCTAGTCCCCTGCTTCAGGAATGCCTGTTTTCTGGCTATCCGCGACCTTCCTGGGTCCTAAAGGTATGCTATTCCTCACAGGTTTCTGAAGACTGTTCAGTAGTGTAAACCTCTCCGTGTAGCATATCTTTAATGAGAGGTGACAGAGTCAAGACCTTTAGTGCTAGCCTGGGCAGACTTAGCAAGCAGGATTTCTGGTTGCAATACTAGCACACCTAATTCAAAAACTAAACGACTGAAATGGAGTTCACTGCCTTATAGCTGTGCTGAGCATGTGTCTACAGCCCCACGTGCCAAGGCCAGGGGCTCAGGTATTACATTTGAGAGCCAGCTTTCCTCTGCTTTACTCTTCTTTGATTCCTAGATGATCACTCTCAGCTAAACTGCCACAGAAGTGTGAGTTCAAAGGAAAAGAGAGAGGTTCCCATTCCAATAGCTTGGGCAACCACATGGGCCTAATTCTGTGCACCCTACAACCATCTTTGCCAGTGTCTGGGCAGAAGTGTGATGCTCTTTTGAGCTAGGTTTGAGTTGCCTATTCACCGTTGAGTGGGCAGGGCCTGTGAGAATGGAAATGGGGTAATCCTCAGAAGAGAAAGCACCAGGCCATGGGCCTTTCTTAGATCTGATTAGTGAAGGGCTTGTCTTTTCATCCTGGTAAAAGACTGTTCCCTTCTTCCCCTGTCCCTCAGTAGTCTCTTCATATTCTCTAAAATGTCTTTTTTTTAAAGTGCAGATGGTTGTTGCATAATATAGTTCTAGTTTGATGCCTGAATTCTTCAATAATATATTTAATAAATTAAAGCAATGCCATCTTCATTTGGAACCAGTTGATCATTTAAAAACCAAGTTTATGGTACCAGGCTTTTATTGTCAGTACCATCATAGATCATTAGATGGAACACATGGGAAACATGGTGTCCTGAAGCAGGTCACTTACTTTTAGTCTTAATGATAGTATTGTCATCTTAGAATTTGATTAATAGAGGAAAAATCTGAAAAGGACTGGCCCTTCTCTTAGGTAAGAGCCACAGATATGTAAGAACAGTGTCTCTTTGGGCTCTGCAACTCTTGGAACTGGGAGGCAGGCAGATCAGTGGTGGAATCTTCTGGGGGTCTGCCAGAAACACCAGGACAGCCAAACGCCAGCTTACGAACTGCATGAACATCTACAACACGTGGGGACGTTCTCTAAACCTTTGAGTATGAATAAGAACTAATTCTCCTGCCTGGAGCATACTGAGCTGCTGGAAAATTCCACCTTTGTGGTTGATGCCTGGTTCATAGCTCTGAGAACAGACCTTTCTCTGAGGTTGACACCAAGGCTCCATGGAAAGGATGCTGAAGACTATAAATACTCATAACTAAGCGCCAGTGTGTCAGGTACTTTGCATATACTTACTTAGTCATTGAAAGTCATGACGTATTATTTTAATACTCTGTTACATATAAGGAAGTGAGTGCTAAGAAGTTACTGAGCATACCTGAGAGTAAAAGCTGGGATCAGAACCCTGGCTGTTTAGCCTGTCTTAGTCCAGTGTCCCTAGCCTTCAGTTAGTGAAGGTCTTAGTGAGTTTGTAGGTGCAGATTTGCACAACTGGACCCTCAGCCACCACCTTGATTGCTTTGATGAGGTGGTTTGCTCAGGACAACTGCTGAACTTGGGTGTGTAAAGTAAGACTCTAAAGCAGCCCAGACACGCTGCCTTTCCTCGATCCTCCATTTTCTGATGTCTTTCAGATTCAGACAGTGAAGACATCTGGGGAGCTAGCAAGACCACGGATGATAGTGAGCAGTGGACGTGTACCTAAGGGCAGTCAGATGGCTACTTTTCAGGAGAAAAGGATGGGGGAGGCAGAGGCTGGCCTGAATAAGCTACAACAAAGGACAAAGACTGTAAAGGAGGAAATGAGGCCCTCAAGGAGGAAAGAGTAGGATGTGTGTTTACCGGCCAGCTCCTGTTGCCAGGCAGTGGCCTAGAAGTTTTATGTACATCATTCGGCTTCCGCAGCCCAGGGAAGTGTGCACCTGTTGTAAGTAGGCACATTTTACTTATGGGAAGCCTTGCACTTACGGGGGAAAAAAATGAATTGTTCAACACCACAGAGCTGGGAGGGAGAGAAAGAATTTGAAATGAGGGCTCTGTAAGTCTAGCTAGCAAGTCTCCTAGAGTCTTAGGTAACTGTCCCTCATCACCATGGTTTTTGGGCCACAGATTCTGAGGTTTGACAAGTGCAGACAGCAGACCAGTACAGCTCTGCCTATGCAGAGGCAGCACTGTTTCCCCTATCACAGAGAAGGCAGAGAAAGGAACACAATAAACAGTCCCCAGTCCCCAACACTTGATACTTAATAGATCCAAGCATCCACACTAGTTTGCTCGTCTCCCCTGCAGAATTCATAAGGTTCTGCTCTCAGGAAAGCCATGCTCTCATCCCGCTACCTCTCATGAACACCCGTGTATGAATAAGCATGCATGTGTGTGCATGTGCCTGTGGGAGACAGAGCTCACCCTAAGGTGTCATTTCTTAAGACACCGTCCACTTTATCTCATAAACAGCATCTTCCACTGGCCAGGAGCTCAACAGTCGTAGTAGGCTTGCTGGCTAGTGAGCTCCAGGGATCTGCCATCTCCACCTACTCCCAGTGCTGGAAGTAGGGTATATGTCATGATGTGAGTACCAGGCATCAAGTTCAAATGTTCACAGTAGGGCAGAAAGCACCCTTCTGACAGAGCTACCTTCCCAGCCCACAAACTACGTTTCTCATATGCAGAAGATCTCTCTCGAATTTGCCCATCTCTTCCATAAAGTAAGCAAAACCTTTCCCTGAAAAGCTGACTTCCTCATTAACAGGACAGTGGGGTGTGTGCTAGTGGGGTGTGGGTTAGCACAGCCCTCGTCTCTGGGGTAGGAGCCTTCCCAGAGCCCACTCACCACATTCCCATCCTATGGTAGGCTTGGGAACCGGGAACTGAACTCCATTTTGCTCCCTTTCTTCCTTGTAGTTCTTGGAATTCAGCTATCCCTGTGCCCTCAGGCCTG